ATCAAAAATTAAGTTTTGATATATTTACAGTAGGAAATTTACAAAATATCTTCATGGAACATGATCTTTACTTAATATCCTAATGATTTTTGGCATAAAAGAAAAATTGATAATTTTGACCCATACAATGTTTTTTTGGCTATTGCTAAAAGTATACCCCAGCGACTTAAGACTGGTTTTGTGGTCCAGGGTCACATTTATTAATAAACATCAAATATGATAACTGTGTAATGTAATTCAGGGCTTAAAGTTCTCCGGCACCGTGTCGGATCTCCGGCGTACAGCGTTTGGCTGCAGGGAAAAAAAATTGTCCTACATTTAAAAAAAAACAAAAAAAACTTGATATCATTTTCGAGTCCATGAGTTCGCCTACCAATGGTATGAGAAGAGCACAGCTTTCACTCTCAACCAAACTAACATTAGTAGCCAATCAGAATTTTTTGCTCTTATAAACACGAGATGCGCATAATAGTATCCAATTGCAGAGTCGCAGCCCTGATGAATGGAGAAGCGCGACAAAAAGCTGCGAGGCGCAATGGTCAAAGATGTCCATCTTGCGCATATTTACACAGAAAAACGAATTAAAAAGCAGCGGAGCTTTGTAAACAGCTCGGAGTAACGTTAACTTAATCACGTCATCTCCATAAGAACGATATGCCAGAACAAATTTACCAGGATTTTTGAAAAGGTCCTGTTCACACATAATTTCTTAATGTTTACTTACCGGTAATTTACCAGTAAAGACTGTATGTGTGAAAGGGGCTAAACTCTTCCTCTGCATATGCCGTGAATTTGAATTGCTTAACGTTCATCTGGGAAAACTGCATTATCTCACTAAATTTGTAATGGAAATCATTTATAAACCTTTGCCAACACAGGAGAATACATCAACCTATTTCTAAATATGCCATTTATTGTACATCGCGATTTCAAAATAAAAGTTTCTGAGTTTGGATGTGGCCAAATATTAAAATTAAATGGATTTAAACATCGTTTAATCACGCTGTAAAGTGAAACGTCACCAGGCTGTCGGCGCCCTCTGTATTTGTTATTTATAACAAATAATGTACTTAAGTTGGTTAAGTTCATATTATATGTATAGGAATATTACATTATGTATTTTAACAGTGTTGTTCAATACAATCATGTAATTTCTTAATTTTGATATTTTATTTGAGCCAATTATTATTGCTTCATTGTTAGTTTATAAATTAAATGGATTTAAACATCGTTTAATCACGCTGTAAAGTGAAACGTCACCAGGCTGTCGGCGCCCTCTGCAGGTATTTGTTATAATACATAATGTATTTAAGTTGGTTATGTTCATATTATGTATAGGCATATTACATTATGTATTTTAACAGTGTTGTTTAATAAAATCATGTAATTTTGATATTTTATTTGAGCCAATTATTATTGCTTCATTGTTAGTTTATAATAGTCATACTAAAGCCTGGTTTTCACTTAGGACTATTTGTGTTACTAAAAAATATGATTACTCAGTTGTCAAAATAATCAGTAGATTACTTGATTACCAAAATAATCATTAGT